TGACTCCCCGCAAACGGATAAGGACGTAGGGCAGAAATGAAAATGCAGAGACCCCAAGCCCTAAAAGCAGCCAGGTTCAGACATCATGTTGCAACAAGTAACATAGATTCAGTTTTCAATGCGACCCGGTGCCTATCGGCTCTGGCATCTCTGGCATTGCTGTGAGGATAGTCTTCATCTAGGCCAGGCGCAATATAGTCAACATAATGACACAAAGCTACCCCTGAGGCTTGTACCAGGCTAGCTGTAGGATGGCTATTCTCCTAACCAATAAGGTTTAGAGGTGCAGTCCTTACAAGTGTGACACCGCTTCAATGATATTTCATGTGCTCAAACTCGCCACTTCTTGTCCGGGCCGTGTTTTCGACTTCGTTTCTGTATGGTGTTAGTACTATTTACTTTGCTGGGTTTGCCGTACAAGCATATACGAAGACAGGCTTGGCAGGCTTGGTTTTAAATAATGTGTTTGTAACACAGCAGCAGCAACAGGGCATTACCGGCAAGACAGGACTACTCCTGTGCTATAGAACTTATGCATATGGTCGGGTGCTTTCACAAAATATACTTTAAACGCGGTCAGAAGGAGTCTGCGTTGGAGACGTATACACAACTCAATTACAAAAACTCATCAAATTTGGAAATATAGAATCCCCACTGCATTCTACATCAGCAGATTTGCAACGACCGCCGTAAACTGACATAACTACATATTCGCCTAACCGTAGAACATGTTGTGTTCATATGCTTGTACATACCGTGCATCTGCCGAGCTGTCTTCGGGCAATACTGAGAGTATTGGACATGTGCAAATGTTGATTACGTTTATACATAAAACAATACTCCCGAATTGTATCAGGTGCGTATCCCACCCTAAAACCTACTGGAACCTGTCGGTGTATATACAGATCCAAGAATCATCATTTATGTGTGTGTGTGCATATGTGTCTACACATACGTATGTATGTATGTTGTATGTATGTATGTATGTATGTATGTATGTATGTATGTATGTATGTATCTATATATATATATATACACACGAATCCAAACGCTTTATACATATGTATATATATATATATGCCCGTGCAACAAGCTTTTCCATTGTATTTCTTCCTTGGGTTGATACCGGCAATATTGCGTATGTGTACAATTGAGAATACACGTTTAAGAGCAGAAAAGATACCGTTGGACACATATGTGAATATGCACTCATGCACGCATGGATGGATGGACGGACGGACGGAGGGATGGATGGATGAAAGTAAAAAACATGGATGGATGTAAAGGTGTGTATGTGTGCATGTGTACATGTGTATATGTGCATATGCGTATATGCACATGTAGATACGTGAAATAAGCTTGTATACATATATACAAATATGCACGCATACCTCGAAACACCTGTCTCCCATCTCTACGGACGGATTGGTCGACTCTGTTGAGGCGGGTCCGGGTTCCGGACGCATCCGGTGAGGAGCCGAGACAGCCTCTGCTTGCGCGGGCTGGGAACGCTGAGAACGGCAACGCTAGTCCAGCATCAGCAAAAACTAATCATCATCTTCATGGCGATAATCATCTGCAGAGGCTGCACATCATGGTGCATTCACGGCCAGAGTGCCGTAGCAGAGAGACACAGACCTTCAAATGGAACATCTGAACAACCTCATCCTGCTCCCCCACCTGCGCTTGCCCACTCGCTCGATGCTTCTGCCGAGGCGCTGCATCGCTGCAGGAGGGTCGCCACGTTGCGGACCTGCTCCAACAGCCAAGACTGATTACTTGCGCTGCCCCACCCGGTTCGGCAGTCCCAGCTCTGAGCGAGGTGCCACAGAAGCCGCACAAAGCGTCCGGCTACTGGCGAGTCAACGACTTCATCGGCTAGCTGGCATCTCAACCGCTCTCGACGTTTCTCCTGCCGTCGCCATGGCTGTCGCCAGGGTGGTCTGCATAGTTCCGCACCCAAGTGACGGCCACGATGCGCAGTCGAAAGCCGAGCCTCAGAAGCCGCAGGTATCTGGCACGTGCTTTGTCAGGGCCCTTCAAGCTGAAGTTCTCGGCAGCCGGCCCCTTCATCAGCTGGAGGAGCATTTGCCGAAGGAACTGCAGCAGGGGCGCCGCGCGCTCCTTGCGGGCACAGGCGGGCTCTTTGCCGCATTCGATCATCACCGCAGTCCTCCTGCTGCTGCCACTCCTCCGCAGCGGCGGTGCCTGGCTCCAGGAGTCGCAAGCAGACTGCTCCAAGACTTTTCGGTCCCCGCCTGCGACCTCCGCTAAGACGCTGAGGTCCAAGCCCGTGTCCTGAAAGAATGCACTTCTCAGTTCGGAGGTGCATACGTGCCTTCGTCTCGTCCGCCCTCCCGGTCCTGGCTGGGGGCCTCGGCACGACCCTCCAAGAGCTCCGAGCAGGTCAGGCCTTTTCCAATCTCCTCTCCATGAAGCGCTTAGGCAACAACAACTCTCTCCGAGCCCTCGGAATAGAGCACTGAGAGCACTAGCCCAAGACCGACAAGCCCTGCCCTGAAAATGCTATTAAGCCGACAGACCACGCGCAAAGCCGACCCTAAAAACACCCTACACTTACGACTACTTTTCTTAAAGTTGTCATCTCATATTGACTTTACAATTGCTATGACTACTGCTAAAGTTAGCATCTCGTACCCTAGAAACCCGAGAAATCCTAAATCGCTAAACCCTAAATCACACCAAACCCTAAAACTTACAAACTCTAAGGACTACATCACACGAAACCCTAGACCTTACAGACCCTCGGCACTAAATCACACCAAACCCCTTGCAAGCCCTAACCCCTGAACCCTATAGAAACCCTGAGCCAAACCAAGCTCGATCACAGGTCGATCACCCGCCAGAGGCTAACGGCTCAAAGCAGAAACGTCGTGCTGTCGCCGGCTCTCACCACGAGGCCGTAGAGGGGGGAGGGCTCTTAGTGGGGTTTGGTTGGTTATCCGGGTGCCCTGTTGGGTCTCGAGTTGGTATTGGTAGCGGAAGTCGGTTAGCATTTCATTGGGTTCTTTGTGGTGGTGTCTTAGTAGCGCCAGTGGCCATGCTCATCCTACAGCGGAGCTCGGGACCGGAGCTCGGTCATATCTCCGACAGGTTGCTGCCTGTTGCGTATAGCCCCATAAACCGTAGAGCAGGAAATGGATTTCCTGTGGTTGCCTGTGATATCCTCACAGCGGGCGGGTGAAACGAACTTCCGGATACAGAAGGTCGCTTGATGCCAGAGATGCCGCCACCCAAACCCTAGTATGAGGTGGTGCCATCTAGCATGGACGATCGGCCACTGCGTAAAACCCTTGCAGCCCTAAACCCTAAACTGCCGAGAGCGCGGCTGACCATTTACATGGGCGCTCGAGGCTTCAAGAAAGCCCTGTTTGAGGGGGTTTGGGGATGAACCCCAAGCCCTAATTGAGACTAGTTGGGGTGGTTGAGGGCGGGACAACATGCTGACGCAAGCGAGCTATAAGTTGGCGCGCACCGCGCACGCACACTGTATACACATCCTATACACCCTGAACGCCAAAGCCCTAAACCCCCGTAGACCCTATAAGTAGGGTATGTATGTATATATATATATATATATATATATATATATTTTTTATTTATTTATAACCCATATTAGGGGACTTATAACCCCACTTATAATTACCCATCTGCCGAAAGCTCCTCTGCAAAGGCGGCGGCTGTTCCCCGGGCATCGGCCCAGCACCTGTGCAGGCTCTGCGGCTTCCGGCGCAGAGCGCAAGTGGAGCTAGCTCTCTATTCATCTAAGATACGCCTTGGCAATCCTATGCATATACACTCTACCTATCATGTGTCTATTGCGTATCAGGGTGTCTATATTAACTTTGGTCCAGTGTTGGGCTGCTTCTCCAAATTGTGGCTTTAGGGTCAAAGCATTGCGGTGATCGGAGAGGGAAGGAGTGCAGAGGTCCGCTTCTCGATGTGTGTGTATCCATCCATATATGTACACATAACATATATATATATATATGCAGATGCAGATGCATACTTAAAGTAGATTATGTATCTGTATATGTCTGTATGTGCAGGTGTATGTGCAAATACGTATGTACATGCATATATGTACATCTATCTGTCGTAATCATATACACACACATATATATACATACATGTATTTCTTAACTTACCTACTTCTTGTTTGTACAGCACAACCATGTCCGTCGCTGCATGAAGCCCAGGCAGACGGAGGCCGCCTGGACGCGTCGAAGGCCGAAAGGTCCACAGAGGCAACCCGTGAGCCTGAGCCAAAATGAAGATAATGGCAAGAATAATAATGACAATAATGAGGATCATAGTCATAACTCATAACATAAAAAGAATCATGACAATTATCATAATCGTGCTATTGATCATAAGAATAATGGTACTACGACGACGACGACGACGACGACGACGATGGGACGACGACGACGACGACTACTACTACTACTACTACTACTCGTGTAGATAATGATGTGGCATCCCCTTTTCAAGCTCCTTCAATCCTTTCACTAAAGTATTGGTAACGCGCGAGATAAAGCTACTTGTCGTGGCACTTGATGGCAAGATCCTCGATGTGTGCCAGACTATGCATTGTGATTAAACGCTTGCCGGCTCAGAACAATGCAATGTTATAGTCAGAGCTGAGATAGAGATAGGGGCCCCAAGGAATTGAAACGAAAGAAAGATGCACTGAGGCACTTTCAGCTCGGACTAGAAATCATGGTTAGCGCTGAGACAGAGGCCCCAAGAAATTGAATCGAAAGCAAGACGCAATTAAACGCTGCTCGGCGCAGTATTAATGAAATCATGGCTAGGTAGAGGCCCCACAAACTAAAACGAAAGCACGACAGCATTAAACGAGGAAAGAACAAATCATGGTTATAGTCATAGAGCTGAGATAGAGGCCCCAAGAAGTTGAAACGAAAGTAAGACGCGACTCAACGCTTTTCGGCTCACAAACGAATATATCATGGCCAGGGCTGAAATCATGGCCCCAAGAAATTGAAACGATAATAAGACGAAATTAAACGCTTTTCGACTCAAACAAGAACACATCGTGGATAGAGCTGGTATACAGACCACAAAAATCGAAACGAAACTAAAACGCAATTGAATGCTTTTCGGCCCAGGAACTAGAAAACATGGTGAGGGCTGAGATAGAGGCCCCAAGAACTTGAGACGAAAGTAAGACGCGATTAAACGCGGATGATTTATAGAGCTGAGATAGAGCCCAAGAAATTGAGAAGAGAGTACGATGCGATAGACGCTTTTCGGCTCAGAAAAGAACAAACCATGGTTCGAGCGAAGATAGTGTAAGACGCGATTAGACGCTTGTCGGCCAAGACTAAAAGAAACCATGAATGAAGAAGAGATAGATGCGCCAAGAAATTGAGACGAAAGTAAGACACAACTAAACGCTTCTCGGTGCAGAAAAGACGAGATCATGCATGGTTAAAGCTGCGATAGAGGCCCCAAGAAATTCAAACGAAAGTCAGACGCAATTGCACGCTTTTCGGCTCAGAAAAGAACAGATCCGGGTCAGAGCTGAGCTGAAGGCCCCGAGAAATTGAAACGAAAGTAAGACGCAATTCAACTTAAAAGCCTTATAAGCTCACAAACAAACGAAGACGTCGTGGATAGAGCTGAGATAAAAACGCCCCAAGAAACTGAAACGTGGTATGCACGCAATCATCGCTGCTCTGCCTCGATGCTGGATTTTGCAGGAGCGCCCCGAACCCCCCCAAGCCCTAAAGGGCCCTAAAGAAAGGGGCCTAAAGCCTCCAAGAGGCTCCTCAGGTGGCTGAGGGGCCGGCAATAAAAGAGGATCTCTCCGTTGCGTGAACCGCCCAGTGCATCGTCCTCGGCATTCCGGGCATCTCCTGCTATTTCTGCGCTGGTGAAGACGTACGCAGGGCCGTAAGGAATGCAAGAAGGCTGAGACAAACGTTGCCGGCGCCGCAGTGTCAGCACTTGGGGGTCGCTTCAAGCCAGACGGCCCAAACGGAAACAGAGGAAACTCGGAAAGAGACACGGATGCTACAGTCGGAGTCAAGTCTGGATCTGCTCGGAGGCATTCAGCCATTCCCTTCACTCCGTTCTATGACCATGACATTCCGGCACTAGGCGGAAGATACTCCGACTCTCTGACTGCCAGAAAGAGTCTGTACTGCCTGCGTCTCTGTGTCTCCTCGCATCCAAAATCCTAATACCCTACACTCTTAACCGTGTCACCTAGAACCTGTTGGACTGCAGGCCTAAACACTCCTCAAGCCCAAGCTTTGGGACCCCGGCCAGGAAGTGGAGCTTGCGCAGCGTTTGCTTCAGAGCTGTGGGGGAGAGCAGTCCTCCGGGGAAGAGCACGGCGCCTCGTAGCAGTCGATGATCCATGGGCAGGAATAAGGATATACGGATTGAGTGCTACAAGCTCCGAGACCACGAAAGGCATACATACATACATACATCCATCCATCCATCCATCCATGCATGCATGCATGCATGCATTATATATACGGTAAGTATTTATCCTTGCACATGTAGCGACAGGCTGCATGACGCATGGGCCGGGCTCTTGAAGCCAAGGTGCCGGCAGTTGATGAAATAAGCTGTGCGGGTCGTCTCCTGGCCATGAAGGGCTTGGGGTTCACAGAGTCGTTTTCGGGCTTAGGGGCTCATGCATAGGGATTTAGTGAGCACTCTTTTGAGGAGGCCTCCCCCTATCCGCACCAGGTGTCTCTCGAACTTCAGTGCGTTGGAACACTCGCATGTGATCGTGTCATATTTTAAACTTGTGGCCATGAGTCCTGGAAGCACTCTCATGACAAGTATTCGAAGGAATGGACATGTGCAAAGCCTGGCCCTAAACTGACAGCACCGACACTCAGTCAATATCCTCCAAACCCGCCTGGAGGAGCTTCAAGGAAGCGGAGAGCACCTCGTGCATGTCGGCCCAGAAGCCCTGGCTGCCAAGAGGCATCTCAAGCCTATAGACTCCTAGCTATAATAGACTCCACTGACCCCACCCCCCCGGCCTCCGAAAAACAACCCTAAACCCTAAA